CCCGACACTGCCCGAGCGAGCTCCGTGCGGAGGGGGATTGGCTCAGGCAGCTTTTAAACCACCTATATGCTAACGAGCCTGCTGCCAGGTTCCTGAGGGGTCCTGGCTGGGAAAAATCAACCCCAAAGCTCAGACCTCTGTCAGGCGGAGGGGAGAATTATATTTTTGAACTAGTCTGCAGCGCGGACAGGAAATGACCCCTCCAGCAACTGCTGCTTTAAAGCCGAGCGGCGGTGCCTGAAGCTCTCCAGTCTCCGTCTGGAGCCCGAGCGCTCCCCCCCTTCCCTCCTCCTGCTATAGCGGCTCCCACAGCAGTTCCCAGCCAGTGCGTGCAGCCTGGATGTGTGTGTGTGTGTGTGCGCGCCGCTACTTTGTACTGTGAAGAACACACAGCCCATGTGCTCTGTATGGATGTTGATGATACTCTGTGTAGCTTGAATCGCTGCAAGCAGGCAAGATGTCCAGCACACCACATGACCCTTTCTATTCTTCTCCTTTTGGCCCATTTTATAGGAGACACACACCATACATGGTGCAACCAGAGTACCGAATATATGAAATGAACAAGAGGCTGCAGTCGCGGACGGAGGTAAGTCCCCCAGCCGTGTTTTCCTGTGCATGGACCGTGGTAGGTTTCAGCCCGAATTCCAGCTGAAGCGTCCCACTAGGCAGTACAGTATATGCAGGCACGAACCCTAATTAATTTAGTAGTTTAATTGGGTAATCCCTCATTATGTTTCCACGCAGAGCAACTCTTTGAGGAGATACCAGCTTAGGCTGAAATCTTGAAATTACAGTACAGCACTTCAGGTTTGATTATAATGCTGCTCTCAGGAAATTTCTTTGCCTTAGTGTGTTGTTTGCTCAGGATCTGTCCTGCTGGTGTTTGCAGCTATAATATTACAAGGTACCGCTTGAGCTTTTGCACAAAATTAATTCAGAAATGGTGTAGGTTTAGGGGGAGAGACGAACCTTTCTCTGGTTTTATTTTGTGAACTTGCTAAAATTGAAAATGAATGGTAACGGAAATCAGGAGCAGAGTTTTAGAAACTTATTCCTAGGCTGCACTTAAAGAACACATGTTCAGGACGACCGATAAGAGAAATTCCTGTTTACATTTAGAACGCAGTTGCTTTTAGCGAGAGAGTTGATCAGTTACGACTTTATCATATAGCTGTCAAAAGTACCCAGTAATGTAAACTACATTCACTGTTGGTTATGCTTTGTATAATGTGTTAGTGGTTTTTACACCCTGGCTTCTAAATCCAGCTCAGCCACCACAAAGAATATGCTGAATGGAAAGGGAAAATACTTTTGTCACTTAAAAAAAAAATAAATAGTGGAGGCTGCATCTTGTTATTTACGTGGTTAAATGAAGCACACTTTTTAGTTGGTTGAAATGAAAAGTGTGTGGACTGAATCAGGCTGGATTTCTGCCCATGTGTCTCTGTTTGTGCAGCAAACATTCTTGGTGCTGCAATTTTTCATAGTAGTTTACTATGAAAACACTTTAAAAAAGTGTTCATCTTTTATAGTGAGTGGCTACATATGGAGGCAAATACCTGCCAAATTCGTGCCATCAAGCATGGTAAAGGACCTCAGGTTGATGTGTTTGTTGTATTCTGATTCTTTAAGGGAGCACGAGGTTATCATGAAATAAACCACACATGCCTGAATTGTCAGCTAAGCCATGGAGAATCTGTGACGTTTAATGTATATGATCCAGCTAACGAGATGTGACCTGCTTTCTGATTGGGTAACTGCTGTGGAGTAACTGCTCTTCCAGCACGGTTACCACTGCTCCTCTTCAAACATTGCTGTGGAGTAATTGCTAAATACACTTCGTGCTGGCTGAGAACTCCAAGCAGCTCATTGCTCCCAAAATCACAGCAACTGTCAGTTTTGCCCCAAATTGTTGGTTGCAGAGGGTTGCTGCCATTCAGAGGATGAAGGGGCTTGGGGGGGATTGTTTGCTACTGTTTATCAGTGTCCCGCAACTCTGTTCCTTGCATTCCTGTACATACTGATGAAGTAATTTCTAGACTTTCTCAAGTGAAAAGAACAAATAGTAACATTAAGTGATTCCTTCAGCTGTTCCGAAAAGCTGTCAGTGCTAATTTAGCCTTTTTACATACTTTTAAAGTGGTACTTTTAGTAATTGACCAGTTTCTGGTTGCAGCTCCTTTACAAATGTTGCACCAAAAAAGTTTTTGAGGGACTTGTGAAGCAACTTCCCCCTCCTGCGTTGCTGAGTGTGCTCAGTTAGACTCCAGTGTGTTTAATTGCAGTTTTTGCTATGCACATTCACAGGGATTGTTGTGGACAAAAAGCAATAACCTACTACTCTTCCTTGCTAGTACTGCCATGGGTTTCAGCAGCATTGTACTTTGACAGACAGTGCTTAGTTAATGAAGGCCTCATGCTCCAGTATTTCTTGTATTTGCTCAGGGTAAAAATACTTTTGCCTTATGATTGCTTCTGATTGATGTTTACATTCTGGTTCTGTGTTTTCTAATTTCTGAGCTCTGTGCTGTAAGCATTGTTATTTGTTGAAATGTAATTTCTAACTAGCTTCAGCTCAGCTCATTCATCCTCCAATTAAAACACCTTCCTTAATAAAAATAAAAATGGAATTAGTTTCCTGGGACACTTGCAGTGACTAGGTGTGGACAGGCTGTGAAGAATCATGCTGGCTTCTGGAACACATTGGGAGTAGAAGTTTCACATTAATTTTATGCACTTCAAAGCATGTTTGGGATTGGTAGCTGAAGGCTTTTGGAGCATGTATAACTAGCTCTGAATTTTTTGAGTCCAGATTGATGGAGCCCTGTATGTCATGGAAGGAATGTGCTTGTGGTGTGGGTGATACGGGCTTACTGCATGAACGTTTCTCTTCAGGCAGTCTTTGGAATAATGTAGGCACTGGTTTCTGAAGGAGGCTGCTTGTAGTCTGTGAGCCCCAGGGGGTAGGTAAGCACAAGCAAAGCAGCTTAAAGGGAAAGGAATTACAAAGAAACTCTCCGAAAGACTGGGGGTAGCAAGCTGTCAGATTCCACCTGGACCCAACTTCTGGAGAGAGCCAGTGGAAAGTGAGGATGCATTAAAAAAAATGGGAATCTACAGCTTTTATCCCAAATGTATCTTTGGAAAGCTTTGGGATTTTCCTATTTTCCCACAAAATAAAAATGTTCTTAATAATCCTTCAGAGTCAGATTCTCTTCTGTCCCTTGCAGTGACAGAGGTTCCAAGGCAGAGCAAAATGTACGTAATTTAAGTTTCACAGAGGATGGTTGGACAGCCTATGCAGGGTGTAGCTGTATGTCATGTCTATCAGTTTTCTCCCTTTCATGTGTACCTTTGTAGAGAATTCCTGTAGCTACTCTCCAGAGCTTGCAGGCAGGTGAGAAATGATTCAAAAAAGCAATGGCTGGTAGAGACACCATTAGAGAATCAATGAACAAATGCCATTTCTACTCCTGCTCTCCCAGCAGCAGGGTCTATGGTATATTTGGGGAGGTGGAAGTGTCCTCAAAGTGGCTCTGTGCTTGGGGACCCTCCCTGGGAAATCCACTGCTCCATTCTGGTTTCTGTCAGTATTGGGTGGAAGGGAATAATAATCAGTGTGAAGGATGTGCTCAGTGTATTAAGCAGATAAAGTACAGATTTGATTAAAGAAAGGTCATTTAGATGCAGCATGGCTTTGTTGTTTGTGTTTTCTTTAGGAAGAAATGAAAGTAAAGAATTAGCAGCTCTAGCTTGGTCTAGACGTGCAAACTATTGCTTTCCAAACTTCTTACAACTTTATGGGCTCCTCAGGCAGAACCTACAACTGCCTTTTTAAATTCAGGGTCAATCTTAGGCGAAGAATTCCAATTACACTCAGGCAGGGGGTGGTTTTATGATGTAAGTACTGGCAAAAGTCCACCACCTAGCTAATTCTTATGTGATCTAAAGTAAATTAGGGAGTCTGAGTTAGGAACTGGTGTACAGGAACACCTTACCTCCCTTAAAAGTTGTTCAAAGAAATCTAATTTGGTAACACATTTTTCTAAATAGAAATTAATACATTCTTTCTTAACAATACTTCGGGAGCATCTAGTGCCATTTTGTAATGCATCAACAATCCTGATTTAAAGAAATAAAATGAATATTTAAGTGTTTAATAATCTCTGGCAGATATAAAGATAAATCTTACTTCCATCATAGCTGATTAGCTTTCTGGTTAACCAAAATGCAGCTGTTTCCTTGCTCTGTGTGTGGTTTTAAGGTTTTCATTGCCATTCACTCTTAACTCAGTTTATCTTGATATTTTTATATCTGTGTTAGGTTAACATTTCAAGAAAGCAATAGTGTTGTGGCATAATCAGCAGTTTCTAAAGTTCTAGGTAGCAATATGTAGCATAGGTAAATTAGCTTAAACATTTTCTCTGTTTTTCATAAAACTTGATGTTTAAAAAAACCTCTTTTCCTCTTTGATGTTGTAAATCCTTTTCTGTTCTAATTTTTAATCATTTGAAATTGCTCACCCTTAAAAGAAAACAAAAGGTGATTATATAGCTTGTGTATAATTATTTTTCAGTCACTTTACAGTGCGCTGTGGATAGATCACCTGAAGTTGCTGACAGTTTAAAGTTTGAGGTGTTGCTTTATTGCCAATAATCAAAGAAATGTATCAAGCCTTTCACTTGCTTTAGTCCCCTATATTGTGAGAACTTCTGCATATCGCAATATATTAAATTCATCAGTATCTCTCTCTGTCACTACAAGAGATTATGCTTTTCATCGCTGTTCTATGCAAAACACAGCTTTCCTTCTGGCTAAGAGAGCAGTGTTTTAAGGATGTTTTAAAGACAATCAGCCTAATCAAAGCATATTAAACTGTATAGAGAATTTAGCAAAAGTAGAGATTTCGTGATGGAAGAAAATTAAAAGGAAAATAAAAGAGGATGTTATGATTGTTTAAAAGCTATTAAATGAACTGGAAGCCTATGCAGTCATTCATATTCAACCAAATATTTAAAGCAAATCAAAGCTAAACAAATTTTCTGCAGTTTAATGGAAGTCTCTTATTTTACTTCCTCACATTGCTAGCTGATGAAATAATCTTTTCTTCTTCTTCCTGATGCATTTTTAATAGATTGGTCATAAAAATCTATGTTGTAACATCACTTTTGTTCACATAGCAACTTAGTATCGCAAACAGATCTCTCATATTGTGTACATGAGTCTGAGTTTGTCCAATGAGTTTGTTTTGATGAGGGGAAAACACATAAACTTACATCTCAAAGCATTTTGGAGGAAATATTCTTTCACCCACAAATATACTAATACTTAGCGATTCTTGGAACATGAGTGAAGTATTTTAGAAGAGCACTTATAAACCATGCTTTGCTGAAACGAAAAGGTCAGTTTTAAAAGAAAACCCTTGAACTCCTTTAGGCAGAATGGGTTCAAGGCTCTTTTTACCGATTGTCTTTTATTTCATATAGTTTTTTCATCCCTTTAAAAAAAAAAAATCAGTTGCAGCTGTTTTCAATTAAAATTGTTACAAACTGACAATTCTTATGAGGCTGGGGGAATAAAAAAAGA